CTCACCCAGTCGCTGGTCCCTGAGGGTGACTCTGTCAGCTGCTGCACCCTCTACTCACCCAGTCGCTGGTCCCTGAGGGTGACTCTGTCAGTGGCGGGAGGCCGCGGCAGCCAGACGGGGGCGGCGTTGCTGGGGGCGCCGCTGTTGCCTGAGGCGTCCACGGCGCGCATGCACACGAACAGCGTCTTCTGGGCGTGAGTTTAGGGTAATTTGCGTGAGTTTAGGGTAATTTGCGTGAGTTTAGGGTAATTTGTGTGAGTTTAGGGTAATTTGCGTGAGTTTAGGGTAAATTGTGTGAGTTTAGGTTAATTTGTGTGAGTTTAGGGTAATTTGTGTCAGTTTAGGGTAATTTGCGCGAGTTTAGGGTAATTTGCGTGAGTTTAGGGTAAGTTGCGTGAGTATAGGGAAATTTGTGTGAGTTTAGAGTAAGTTGCGTGAGTTTAGGGAAATTTTCGTGAGTTTAGGGTAATTTGCGTGAGTTTAGGGTAATTTGCATGATTTTAGGGTAATTTGAGTGAGCTTAGGGAAATTTGCGTGAGTTTAAGGAAATTTGCGTGGAAATTTGCACGGTTTTAGGGAAATTTGCTCGACTTCAAGGAAATTTGCTTGACTTTAGGGAAATTTACGCGACTTCAAGGAAATTTGCTTGACTTTAGGGAAATTTAAGCGACTTTAAGGAAATTGGCGTGACTTAAGGGAAATTTTTATTGGCGAATAATTGGTTTTGTGTAGCTGGCTTGTGTATAGATATTGAGGGTTTTCTTGCAAAATAAAGCTGCACCTAAAATCGACAAAACGATTCTTGCCATACATATATGTCAATTGAATCAGCTTTATTAAGTGTTGCTCAGGGTAGATATCGTTTATGTGATTTGAAAAACGCATATCCCCAAATCCAGTTAATGATTTCATGCGTGAAAAAGTTTTGAATAGAAAGACCCTTTCAATTACGTTTAACATAGGTCAGCTATTGAACTCAAGTCGGAGAAATTTGAGGAAATTTTAATTTAAACTTATAGAGTGAAATTTTTGTCAATAAATTTTAATCCAAGTTTCTCTCATAAAGCCCTCACTGCCCTTCCTGCTATACCGAATGATGACAGCACCAAAAATTTAGACTCGAAATTTGGACGCGATAGGCATTGTTGATACGCCCTCAAAAATTATTTACGACGTCAATCCACATTTAATGACAAAAATTTAATTAAAAAAACAATACATGAAGCGAAGATTAGTGTAATAAATAAAATGTCTGTTTGACGTAAGATTGAAAGCTTGCCCATGTTATTGTTTTTATCATTCAATCGCGCACTCTTCAGTCGTTGTTCATTTATAAGTCAACGGACATTCGAGCATTCAACATGCATGGCCGGTCTTTTACGTGAGAAAATTTTCCAATCGTACGCTCGTAATATCTGTGCACTCTTGCTAACAGCAAAAATGTGGCTTTCTTTGAGTGAATATTTCATCCTAATCGAGCAACGATGTACCCCCAAAAATGATGTTTCAACGGACAAGTCAACAGCTTACATTCAGCACATATAATTTATTAAAGGCGGAAACAAACAAGAGAACACATTTGCTCTAACATGTGGCAGCTATCAAAGTGAAGAATGTGACACCAACATCTGTGTAAATTTAGTTCCAGTCATCTACATTGCCTCGAGTGATGAAGTTAGTAACGCAGCACGCAACGCTACAATATTTAACTATTTAATTCAGAAAATTTATTTTCTCTGGCATTTGCCCTTAATGTACAGTTGCCTTGACATTTTTGTAATTTGTTTTCTTGTATATATCGTTCATTCATTATTATAATTCTTTATTCATCAGTTCTTATTCGTTTATTCATCCTATATTTGCGATCATTGGCCAAGTGTTTGGGGTTAGAATGCTTATTTATTGAATTGTCCCCAACAGCCTGTTTATAAAATATAGTTGAGATTATCCCGATTTATCATATTTTAAACCAAACATGAATTTATCTACTTTAGAGCTATTAATTGATCTTACAATATATGATCTAGCTATTATTTGATCTTATAGTAAAAAACTTGAAAAAGTTTGTAATAAATCACATTAAGCGTACATTAAAAATTGCATGAATAAATACCATAAATAATTGTTAACCAACCAGCAGTCTGTGACGCTTAAAATTGACTGAGGCTCTTGAGCGTAAATAAAACTGTTTGATCAGCTATTCGCCTGTTTGATATTCTATTTGAATTTTCGATAGAATAATCCTCAACCACAACACTGTAAATCCAGTGAAGCGAGATTTTTGATCAAAAAACATGTATTATGTAGACAACTCTATACAGGTAAAATTCACCACAACGTTAACGTCACTGTTATAACGAGCGTCTATGGCTGAAACATACAAGTCATTACTCAATTTAAACTTTCAATTTATAGTTGGAATACCACAATTATTAATTATATTTAATTTACACTTGAAATACCATAATACCAAAAAAAGTTATAAACCGAATACTTTCAATTCAACTTCTGCGGAAATGGCTTCACCGTATATTTTAGCAGATACAAAATATTTTGTACGCTTAATATTTTCAATGATTTACAACACGAGAGATAACGAGCTCTGCAGGGGAGACAAAAAAATGTAACTCAGTATTCACTGCAGTGAATGACAGAGCGCATTTTCTCGACGACGAAAACGTAGTCACGGACAGACAGACAGACAGACGGACAGACGGACGGACGGACATGTCGAGCACAATAGCGCTTTTTCAAAAATAAGAAAATGCGCTAAAAAGGTGAGTAACCGAATATTTTCAACTCAACTGGTGTGGAAATGGCTTCACCGTATATTTTAGAGGGTAAATATATTTTTTGCGCCTAATATTTTCAATGATTTACAACACGAGAGATAACGAGCTCTGCAGAGGAGAAAAAAAAGTCACGAGAACTCCCGAAAACCAGGGAAGAGACAAGACCGAGCGGGGCGCTAATACTCCCTCATTTAGGGATTCCCGCTACCGCGCTTATTAAAAAGAGTGAGATATGGCATCGTTCAACCAAGAGCAACATGCTGCGTCGAACACCGTAAATATTTTTTTTGGTGTTCCATGTTAACATAGGTCGTCATGTTTCATCACAAAATATTTCGAAGTTTTCTAAATTTGTAATATTATTATCAAGAAATTTCATCGAAATATCTCCCATAAAAAACTCAAATTATGACTAGCAGAGTGTCTAATTATGAGCACCTGATCGGTTTCCTTAACCCACACATCAATTAAACAGAAATTAATTTATTTCATTTCAATATTATTATTATTATTATTATTATTATTATTATTATTATTATTATTATTATTATTATTATTATTATTATTATCATTATTATTATTTTCAATATTATTATGTAAAAAAATTGGACGAATTTTTCATCAAAAAAGCTAAACACTAGTTTACTGACTAAGAAAACACTGGGGCAGCAAATCGAGGACATGTTCTGAAACAACTGAAAACATACTTTTCAATTTAAAAACAGAAATTTATCACGAGCGTCCTACTGATTTAACCTCCCACCCATGGTTATATATATGTTTTTCAAATGAACTTTTTCCAAACACTGTCATTTAATTACGAAAACTCTCCGTGTCAAATTTCTTACAGATATTCTGACAACAATTTCCTTTGCGTCTTTTTTCCGACTGTTCATTCTTCCGTAAGAGCAAACATTACATTAATGAGCCGCATATATTTCAGTTCTTCTATCATAGAATTTCAAGTCAGCTTTTGGTCAATCTTGAAGAAAATCAGACAAGGCAACTTTTTAACTAGAGACAAAGTTTGGAGGCAGCATTAGCTGGTAATTAGCAAGCTTAATGACGTCAAGCCGCGACCAAAATTGCTTAACTTCTTTCTTTTCAGTTCGTACAGCTTCCGCGGCAACCGATTGCAGAGAATTAAATGCCATATAAATTCACTTTTGCCTAGGGACATATCTTGACTATTTTATTAGGGTATCATATGATTATAATGCCATTCATTATTGTTGTATTCAGCGAAATTAGAAGAGTATATATAAGAACAATTATTACCATAACGAAATGAGGAAAAGTTTATATTTTATCACAATTATCGGTTTTCCTTGAAAATTTGTTTACTATTATAATGTTGATTCCTGCTCACTCAAATCTCTTATCACATAAAATTATAATTACTTTATTGTATTTCTTTTTCCCTCATTCACTTAGGTGGAAAACAAGGAAGGAATAAAGGAAACATATTGCAGGAGGAAAAAAAATCGACAGCTTAATTAATTCAATTACAACGACTGATAAATATAAAATTGATATCAGTGTCATTGAATTAAAAAATAAGAATATACTCATGGGCTAATGGGATGAATGTAATTACGAACATGAATCTAAGTAATAATATCACTCGTTTGCTTGAATCGCAAATTCACTAAAAACTTAATAGCAAAGAAAACTCCACAAAAATTCATAGTATCTTTAAAGAAAACGTTTCGGAGTCCAGCTCCATCGTCAGTTCGAAAATTCTAGAACGCAGATAAATCAGTGATTAGTACAAGTCAAGAATACAACGAAAATCCTAAGCTGCAAAACCTACCTATTTACAATTTCAAGCGGGTAAGAGCTAAAAGCTAAATTCAAACTAGGCCTATGTTTAAAAATATACAATGATTCTAAAATGCGCAAATCAGAAACACCGGAACTGGAAGCTAAAACTTTGAAGTCACTGT